CGGGTCCTCCTTCCTCCCGTGTTCGAAAATGTGGACCACATTCACCCTTTTCCAGTCCTCTGGCACCTTGCCAGAGCACCACGAGTGCTTGTAAAGTGTGGCAGGGGTCCCTCAATGTCCTCTGCTAATTCCCTCAGCACTCTGGGGTGGAGATCGTCAGGACCTGCTGATTTGAACATGTCCAGTCCCACCAGAAGTTCCCTAACTAGGTCCTCTCTAACCCTGGGCCTGGCAGTGCCTCCCCTGGTACCATCGGGCATCCCAGTGGGGAGGATGACTTGGTCCATGCTCAGAAAAATGGAGCCAAAGAAATTGTTAAATAAGTTAGGATTGTCATTTGGTGAGAGCACCAGATTTTAAGCATATCCTGCAGAGGCCCCACATTACCCAGAACCTTCTTTTACCCCCTATGTATTTAAAAAAGGATTTCATGTTATCCTTGATCCGGGTCACTAGGCCCAGTTCCATCTCCACCTTGGCCTTTCTCACAGCCCCCCTACAATCCCAAGCAGTGGAAATATAGTCCTCCCTGGTGATGGCCCCTCCCTTCCATTGGATGTGTGCCTCGTTTTTAGCTTTGAGACATTCCTGGGTGCTTTTGGTGAGCCATGGGGGCTTTTGAGCACTCTTGCCCCTTTGATCCATGTTGGGATTGCCACCCTTTGGGCTTGGAGGATCGTCTCATTATGGAACAATCACTCCTCTTGCACTCCCAACTCCCCACCCCTCTGGGACCTCAGTGCCTCCCTGACTAGTCTCCTTAGCTCAATGAAATCCATCCTCCTGAAGTCCAGGGCTGCTGTTTTGCTGCAGGCCTTTGCCACCCTGCACTGGATGGTGAATTCAAATAGGCAATGATCACTATCACCCAGGTGATCGAGCACCTGCAGTCCTCTCACCAGATCATTGCTTGTTGCCAGGACCAGGTCTCACAAGGCATTTCCCTTGGTGGCACTGTGCACCTCCTGAGTTAGATGGAGGTCCTGTAACATGGCTAGGAACCTACGTGAGCTTCCATCAAGCTATGGACAATACTAAGACGTCCATCAAGAAACAAGTGCCCAGGGATGCTTTCAAGATTTCTCTCAAGTATGCCCCTGAGGGCAGTCCAGGACATATCTGGCACAGCTTTTGCACCATATAACATTTTTCAGAGTAATGTGCATGTGCAGAGTAGGCATATGCAGAGTAGGAGCCAGGGGGCTGGGCGTGTTTCTCTGGAGTGGTCTCAGGATCACTGTGGAAGCAGTACTGACATGGATGTGTGTTCTCATGCAGCCTTTGTCTGCTAAGGCTCCAATACAAGAAAACATTTAGGCTTGTTCTTAAGACCATCCCTATTCAGCACAGCACTTATACACCTAACCTTTGGCACATATTTCCATGGACTTCCGCAAGACTTAAAGTAGGCACATACCTAAACCTAGCACATGCTTAAGTGCTGTAATGAGTATGGATACACTGCTGAACAAGGGTCTTGCTGAAAACTACTGGAAGCAGGAGCCATCTTTTCCTTGATGTCTTGTACACCAGTGTCACTTTACACCACAAACATATCATAAAAATCTCATGTTTAGTTTAAAATATAGTTTGTTCTTAAAATAAAGGTAAATTCCATAACCTGCATCCTCAAAACACAGCATCACTTATTCAGCACTGTAAAAATCAGCCATTGTCAAGAGGCATGACTTTTGTCACATGTTATGAGTCACTGGCAAGTGTAAATTTAATAAAGAAGTCCATACAGGGTAAGGGTTGAAGAGTCCATGCCCTTACAGGCTACATAAGACTGAGGCCAAGATGTCTTTAGGTCCAAGATTTCATACAATAACAGATAAAAATCAGAAGCCGAATCAACCCCTGGTGCAGAGGTGTAGCAAGTATTTTCTGTTTCTGGGCAACAGGTGGTGGTGGTGGTAGATTATGCTGACTACTGGACAGTGGAGGGGGAGCAGAGCAGGGAGCAGAGGGGCTATAGTCTTTTCTGGCAGCACTCTCTCCACTTAGGCAGCAGCAGAGACTCAGGCATCTGAGGGACTCCTGGGGAGACATGGGCCATATTGGTGTCCCACTTACCCCATCTTAGTTTCACTACTGCCCTAGTTACTCCATTGACTTGTTTTTATATTGTTTTTTATGTTAGCCCTTTAACCAAAAACAAGCAACAGATTTTGAGAAAGGGAAGTTGAGCATTCATATGACAAAATGAGCCCACCATTATGCACCTACATCTGTATGTGTAATGATGATAATTGTACAAATAAATGAAGTATTTGTACATGACTGAACTATTAGGACCATGATTCAGCAAATTACTTAAGCATTTAGTTACTGCTTTACATTTAAGTTGCCAATATTTTGGTAGTATGTGTTATTTTGAACTGAATCTCCATACTGTAGTTATGAAAGAAAATATTTGCAGATTAAAAGATAATTTCTCTTTTCACATGTTCTGCTAAAAGTCA